GCGGAGCAGCGGGAGCAAATTGATAGGGGCCAGAATTAGTATTGTGCCAGCACCACAACATCACTTCTGGTGTGAACCTGGAAGTGAGGTCACCCGCACTGGGGCAACACTGAAGGATTCACCTGAAACTCTGTGATTTTGCCATAGAGTTTCGGATGAATCCTAGAGCAGCACTTGACGACACTCACAGGTTCGTGCCAGTAGTGATGTTGAAGTGTTGGCGTGATGCAGGTCTTCAGGACTCCGCCCCTGCACGTTTCCTGGGGGTTACCATCACTGGTTGGTGAAGACGGCAATGCAGATCAGGGAAATCATGGGGAGAGGTTGCTGTGACTGTGACAGAGCATCTGCTTTGCATGCATAAGATCCCAGCTTCAATCCCTGGCATTTCCAGGTAAAAAAAACAAAACAAACAACAAAAGAGGACCAGATAGCAGGCGATGTAGTAGGTGTCCATGCCACAACCACTCCCTGCCCCCCCCCACTGACCTGAATCACTCTGTAGCCACCCTGAACCACTCTGTAATGCTACAGTGCAGCTGTAGGAAAAAGGCAGCAAGCTTAGCTCCACCCCTTCTCTGCAGTGCCAACAGAGTGCCGGTGTGGATATAGCCACTCCAAATATTATCCTTTAAATAAAAGAAAAACAAGTTTGTTTTCCCCCCTCGAGATTAAAAGAGAAAGCGATGAGAAACGCTATAAATCGTGCTTGGATTTACCACAGTGTCAGATGGATGTTCCTCTTTAACCCCATGGCTTCCTGCTTTCCATGCAGCGAAACTTGCCAAGAGGAAGCAGCCAGGAAGGAAAGTAGGAAAGAAAGTGTTGCCTCGGGGAACCCGGGGAGCACCTTAGGTTGGTTGATTCATGATTTTGTTGGTGTCAGCTGCCTTGAACACCAGAGGAGGTGGGTTAAGATGTATAAAGGCAGGGCTATTTTTAGGCAGGAATCCACAGGAGCAGAGTTCCAGCTGGCTTCAGAGTTGGCCACGCCCACTACAGCCAAAACCTCTGCATGCGTGGCTACAGTGGAAAGGCCTGGAGAGCGAGTGTCTTCCCCGGCCTGTCCAAGGGCTGGCTTGCCCGGGGTCCCCACAGCTGCGGGGCGCCCGGGCAAGCCAAGGGAAGGCAGTTTAACGTCCCTTCCCTTCAAGGGGGAACTTGCCCAGACAGGCCAAGGGAAGGCATGGGCTGTGGCTTAATATGCTAATGAGCTGCTCTGTCAGGGGGTGTGGGCTAATATGCCAATGAGTTTCTGCTGTTGGGTGTGGCCTATTATGCTAATGAGTTCCTGCTGGGCTTTTTCTACAAAAAAACCCCTGTATAAAGGTAAAGGTTTCCCTTGCTTGAGAGCTAGTCGAATCCAACTCTAGAGGGCAGTGCTCATCTCCATTTCCAAGCCGAAAAGCCAGCACTGCCAAAGACGTTTAGAGGGGGTATTTTAAAAAAACATTGATTCAAATGTGTGACATCTTGGCCTAATCGCAAAGCAGGTCTCCTCCATCCAAATCTTGATGTATACAAAAAAAATGGTCTCAGTTAGCTCTCTTGGTGGTCTGAAAAGAAGCATACCATTTTATGAAGAACTTTCTTTCAAAATGTCAATAATCTGTTCACCCAGTAAAAGGTGAAAGGTTTTAACAGACAGGGATCTTTTTTCCTAGTTGAATTTTTCCCTAGTTGAATTATTGGTTGATGCAAGAGGTCAAATTATACAAATATTTTAGATGTTCTCATGTAGCACACTTGAAGCGGACAAATGATTCAGCAGTTCTCTTCTTTATTCTCTCCTTCCCCTGGAATCCTGCAATTGTCCAGATTATTTCACTGACCACATGGGGGATTATGAAGATGTTCTGGCTTCACTGGAAACCCTCAACCTCTCCATTCTTAAGGCTATGGATTACACCAAGAGGGTGAGTTATCTATATTTTTATTTATTTTATGCATTAATTCAAAACATTTTCTATACCACCTTTCCACCCAAAACAGAGTCTCCAGGGCAGTGATCATGAAACATTAAAGCGTTACATGTTTCCCTAGTGTGGCTAGCTACCTCTTCGGTGGATAATGTTAGAGTTCGTGCTTCTGAGGTGTACTTTGATTTATAAATAGTCTTTTATATTGAAGTGAAATTAAATCCTTTAGACAGAAATGTGGACGTCCCTCTGAAGTTGCAGGAGAAACATTCGTAGGGCTGTCAGAATGCAGCAGCTGTATCAGATGACTTTGCTTGCACTGAAAAAGGGAGTTCTTTTTCGGTGATTTCGGAAGTGGGGACTGGTGCAAAAGGCTTTTTAAAATATCATTCCTGATTTGGTGAAATCACCCATCTGAGCACTAGCGGAAGGGTTGCCTTCGTTTGGAATGTGCTTTATTTGCTCTTAGTGATGTCACCTTTGTTGAAATCTGACTGGTGGCTACATAGCATTATGATAGCATCACATCTAGTACCTGATCCTGGCCAGGAGGAATCCCTTGAAGTGGGAAGATACAGTGGGGGGGGGGGGTGGATTAAGAGGTTTGGGGGAGTCACCCCTGTAATAACCACTCCCCCCTTCTTCCTTCCTACTGTCTGTGCCTGGAAGGCAGAGAGGAAATTCTGTGGTGTATGGCTTACCCCTTCCCTCCTTCCTCTATAGGGTAGCATGCCACTACTCAGTCTGTGTATAAATAGTCTTTTATATTGAAGTGAAATGAAATCCTTTAGACAGAAATGTGGATGTCCCTCTGAAGTTACAGGAGAAACATTTGTAGGGCTGTCAGAATGCAACAGCTGTATCAGATGACTTTGCTTGCATTGAAAAAGGGAGTTCTTTTTCGGTGATTTCGGAAGTGGGGACTGGTGCAAAAAGCTTTTAAAAATATCATTCCTGATTTGGTGAAATCACCCATCTGAGCAGTAGCGGAAGGGTTGCCTTCGTTTGGAATGTGCTTTATTTGCTCTTAGTGATGTCACCTTTGTTGAAATCTGTCTGGTGGCTACATAACATTATGATAGCATCACATCTAGTACATGATCTCTGATCAGTAGGAATTCCTTGAAGTGGGAAGATACAGTGGGGGGGGTGGATTAAGAGGTTTGGGGGAGTCACCCCTGTAATAACCACTTCCCCCTTCCTACTGTCTGTGTCTGGAAGGCAGAGAGGAAATCCTGTGGTGTATGGGGGAGAAATAGCTTTGGCTTACCCCTTCCCTCCTTCCTCTATACTAGGGTAGCATGCCACTACTCAGTCTGTGCCTTTCCTCTTCCTACATGTGGCTTGAGTCACTGGCTGATTCTGCATTGGCTTTTCCCTCCATTGTTTTATGAAACCCACGTTGGAACAGAAATTCCCCTCTGCATTGCATGCTGCTTTCAGTTCATTTGATCATCAGGGTTTTATGGTAGCCTCCACACTCCATGCCACATTTGCTTTGATCATCGGATTTTATTGTAACTTCTGCATAGATTTATGGCTGTTTTATAGCCACATAGAGGTGACTTAGCAGTCAGTACAGCATTGTCTTAAGGTATTTGAATGTGGTTTTGAGCTGCACTTTTTCCTCCCAGTTGAGAAAATGTGGAGCGAATGCTAGATGCAGAATCGCCCTCTGATAGCGGGTCTGTGCTCGTGTGCTTGTGCTTCACAACTTTTCTTCCCTGGCCTGCTGTCTATAGCCCAGTCTGGAGTTTCTAGTGGACTGAGCCACTGCTCAGGTGCCATGGGTGAGAGCTTTGGTCACAGTCCAAGTTCTTTAAAGGAAAAGATCTTTATTCACTTAAATGCAATCACCACCCTGCATTGGAAAACTATATTGGAACGCTACAGGGTGTTAGAGAGCTAAGACAAAGCATGTCCAAAATGAGGCTAGTCAAGTTATACAGTCACTTCTGTGTGCCTTGGCATTCCCCTCCTTGGAATGGACATAAACCCACTGGAACATCGGGAAAAGAGGCTGGTCAGGTCATACTTCATTCCATTCCCTCCCATGTTCCCCAATCTTGGCTTGTGCACTATGATAGGGTGTCCAGACTTTTAAACACTTTCTTTCCCAGGTGGGACGGTTTCAAGTTAACATATCATGAAGGGAGTAAAGCCCCATGTGTGTTTCTCATAATGAGACATCTTGACATCTTTCCAATCAAATTAATCTGCATATCCCAAAGATCTTCATGGCCCATCTCAGGCTATCTTGCCTTTTCCTGGCAGGTGGGCAAATGGTGATATTCAGTGTTCCCTCTAAGCTGAGTTAGTGTGAGCTAGCTCACATTTTTTTAGCCTCCGGTTCACAGATTTCGGTCTTAGCTCAGGAAGGATGGTTGCAGAGCAAACTGATTTATGCAGCAGCCAAATCACCTGCTCACAACTTTAATGCCGGTAGCTCACAAAGCAGAATATTTGCTCACAAGACTCCACAGCTTAGAGGGAACATTGGTGATATTGCATCCTGCCTAAATGTCTCCATAGAGGACACTCATCTTTTCTCAGCCTGCAACTGTTTATGGTTTCATTGCCAGAGAAGGGCCTCTTCAAGTGTCAATCAAAGTATCTTGCATGCCACTTTCCCAACAATCCCCACCCTCAAAATGCTTCTTTTCTGTCCAAAACTAAATGAGAGAAAATGTGACTGAGCACATGAGACCTTTGTGGTCCAACCCAAATTCCCTCAACAATCCCCACCCTCAAAATGCTGGAGAGAAAATGTGACTGAGCACGTGAGACCTTTGTGGTCCAACCCAAATTCCCAAAGTGTGTCTGAGTTTTAGGAGTACTCAGAGGTAAGACTGGATGCTTGTGAGAAAGAAATGATGGGGAGCAGGGAGAAGATGTTGCTGGAGGTGGCCCCGTAGCTACAGTGGGGCATGTTGGGGCCCTGCCCCTTAATTAAAAGCCCCGCCCCACAAACAGCTGTGCCAGAAACCTTATTTTTGAGGAGAGACTGCTGCCTCGGCCTTCCCTCTCCTCCCCACTGTGGAATTGGGGGGAGGGGCATCATGAGACCTGGGAAAAGGCAGCTCAGAAGGCATTTAAATGCTTTTAGAGTTCCCTTCCACAGGGCAAGAAAGCTTAGAAGGGCCCTCAAGAGTAGCACCTTCAATACATCTCCCCCTTTCTGCTAGTCCAGTCCTGCTGTCTACCAGCTAGGTCATGGTGAGTCTTTCAAAAGCATTCCCATGAGCCTTTGGGAAGCATGGTAATGAGAAGCAGTGGAGACTCTGAAAATATAAAAACAAGCCATTATCCAAACCTGTCTCTGGGACTAATTGGAACGCATGGGTTCCTTGTATAACAGAGAGAGATTATAATGAAGGCAGGGACTCTCTTGAATTAAGGTCCTTTGACGACTCCTCTGTCTCTTTCAGTGGAAAACAAAGTTTTCTGAATCATGCAGATTCTCTTATTCAGGAAGGAATATATCTCTTCTTTGCTTTAAAGGAAAACATTCTGATATCCTTGAGGACAGCTGTGTCTCTGTTCAGCCGCTTGCTTGGCTAAATCAACCCATTGCAAGCAAAATTTTTGAAAATGTTTCTCTTTTTTAACTTGTCAAGCAAGCACAGGTGCTCAGTTCTAACAATGGCGTTTTGGAGTCCTTTTATTAAAATTTTTGCTCCGGGCCTGATTGATTTTTTTTGAAGTGGTTGTATAACCATTTTTAATTGGTGTTTATACTCAGAGACTTTTAAAAGAACACTAATCATTTGTTTCTCATAAGGAGACATGCGGCAATTATTTTCTGTGGGGAAAGCTTATAAACGATCTTTCGTAATTAGGCACTAAAGTATGCAAGGTAAACAAAAGTGCGGGACAGTAATTACTTTCTGATTTAGTGAGTTCTTGGATTTGAATGGTACATGAATTACAATGTTACACCCTGGGTGTGAAGCATTTGGTGCTTTACAATGTAAGATGTTCTGTTTCCAAAATGGGTACAAGGGAGAGCCTAATTTGCATTAGTTCCTTTTTTGTGCAATTAACCCCAGAGGTAAAATTGTCTATGAATTGTTTGTGTTTTAAAAGCAAAAGAAATATTCTTAAACTTTTTTATAGTTAAGAGTGTTATGGATGCCATGATGTTATTTCTCACTCATTTTTCTCTCCCTGCTCCATCAATCGCATATTGGGGGGATGGGAGTGGAAGGAGGTGGGACGTTTCCCACCATGGGCTAGCAACTAGCAAATCAGTATGGCATGATGCGGTGGCTCAAGTGGTTAAGATGCTAAACTGCAGGCTGTGGAAGGTCAGTAGTTCAGCAGTTCAAGACCCGAGTTGCCGCATGACGGAGTGAGCTCCCATCTCTAGTTCCAGCTTCTGCCAACCTAGCAGTTTGAAAGCAAGAAATTGCAAGTAGATAAATAGGTACCACTTCGGTGGGAAGGTAACAGCGTTCCATGCGCCTTGGTGTTTAGTCATGCCGGCCACATGACCATGGAAACGTCTTCGGACAGCGCTGGCTCTTCGGCTTTGAAACGGAGATGAGCACCGCAACCCTAGAGTCGGACTCGACTGGCTTTCGAGCAAGGGAACCTTTACCTTTACCTATGGCATGATGAGCTATTAGTTTTTCATCTCAGGAATCCACTTCAAGAAAGTAATGATGCTTTCACATGATCTTTGTGGCTCATGACATTTAGAACCTTTGCTCCAAGGGAATGCGGTGTTTGAGCACTTCCATTATTAAACTCTGATACCCAGTCATCTGAAAGAATGGTAACTCCATAGCCTTCTTGTGTCTATGGTTCTCTAGGAACTATGTAGTCAGTAGTGTCTTCTGCATGGTGCTGTCATGGGTCCTGGCTCCGCTGAGGCTGCCTATTCCTCAGATGAGGAAGAGGCGTGGAGCAACCCCGCCTCCTCTGGAGTCAGCCCAGAAGAGGAACCTTTACCAGCAGCTGAGGGAGAAGAGGTCCCAGCATCTGTGCAGGAGGGG